AGGGGCATTTTTTTAATGTTTTGTAGGTTATTTTTATTTATTAAATATTATGTTCTTTGCAGTTGAACCATAAAAATCAATTCAACAGCAATAATGCAAAATAATTTTAAAATGAGTGTATCTTTAGAATTTCCGATACACAGTCTCACATGCTGGAGATAAAAATGTTTTTTTTCCCCTGTACAGTGTTGCCATTGCCCGCTTTGAAATAATTGAGTTTGCTAATCAAAAATTCATTAGTGTTACAAAATATTAAATCAATAATAAAACAAATTCCAAATTAGGGCTTCTAGGTGCCCATATTCGGCAGAGGATTACGTTATTCAAAATTTGATGGCTCTAGATACCATTGTTTTATCACAGTGCAAGAAACACACATACATTTATGCATATGCTTCATTATTTAATTTCTTTATATTTAATACAGGGCTCTAATATTTGGTTGCAAAAGTTTGAAAAGTGAATCAACGCAAAAAGTTGGTGCAAAATGCTGAAAAAAAAATTTACAGTCCTTCTGAGCAAATTGCCCCTTTGGACTTAAGTAACAAATTTGTTTTAAACGCCATTTTATTACTTAATTATTTCTACAAATATCTTGTAGTGAGAAATGAAAATTAAAAATTACTAAAAGGTTTCTTGGGTGATGAAAATCCTACAGCCAGGTTTGATGCTCAGTACTATAAAAGTGAGTTGCTTTATTATAAAAATGATCATCAATGTAAAAAAATGATTTTAAAAAAATAATAATCTACATAAATTTCTGAAAGCTTTTAGCAAAAGGAATGGTTGCCAGAGTATAAATTTGCCTGTCACAGCATAAGCATGAAATATGAAATCTTTTAATAAACAATTATTTCTCATGCCTTATTGTAAAAATCTTTATTTATCAGTTGCAAGAATTCTAATTGTATTCTTTTGTATGCCTGTGTCTGTATCCCAAATTAAATATGCAGACAATGAAAAATTCAACAGAAATCTATCTATCTATATATATATATATTGCAAGTTTCTTTCTACATACTTATTTTTATATTGTTTAAACAGTAGTACACATTTTTATCATATTTAGATACTCAAGTTCACAGTATTCCACATTCATGAAAGAAATACAGAAAAAGATACAGGCACTTTTTAAAATTGAGATTGTTTCTGCATTTAATTTTATACAATAGCAAAAATTTAGTTTTATGAGTGACAATGTTAAATATTATTTTTACTTTAGAAGAGACCTGAAGTATTTGCATGACTTAACACATTTTAAAACTCTTGAATGTAAAATATTTTTGTTCACTATTTTTTGAGTTGACAAATTAACATTCTGAGATTGCGAGATAATTTTTGTTTAAATTATCTTCAAAGAAATACTAGTTACTTTCAGAAGTGGTCGTCTAAGAGAAATGATCAATGTGAGATAATATGTATATTCGTTGTTTATTTTTATTAAACATAGTTTATAATATTTTTAATTAATAATACACAAATAAAGGATAATCAATAATTAATGATTCTACAAAATTTGAAATATAACTGAAAAAATTCCATGAGCTGATCTGATTTATTTAAAATCTACCTCTCACATAAAAGATAGCACACTATATTTTTTCACTGATATTAACCCATTTAATTCAAATTCCAAATCTTTGACGTGGCAGATTATCCTAAGTATCAAATTTTTTTCACAAATTAATCAAATTTTACATTCTAGAAAATTTTCAAAATATTAAATATTTTTCTGATATCTTAACAACTTTTAAAATATGCAGCTTAAAAAGAGGGTTCAATATCTGTACTTTTTTTTTTTTTTTTTAGTTTAAAATGCAAAATAAATAATGCAAGTTTTACAGTTCCAAGAAACTTTAGCATATGGTAATTCGGTGAAGAAATTTTTCAAAAAAAAAGTTAGGGTTAAGATAACAGTAAATTCAGCAAGTATTTCTCCTTCCTCCTTATTTCGGTACGTGTATGTGTGTGCGTTCATGTTTGTATGCCAACTATTACATGTGAATATCTCTGAAATAACCTGTAGTATTTTAGCGTAATTTGAGGTATAGATTTGAATTATGAGAAGAACCAGCATGTGATTTCAGAAAAAGTTCAATTTTGTATAAAAATACATATTTTAGAGCAATGTTATATATAACAATAATGTACAGGGTGTCTATAAAAGAATGTCCCAGTTTCAATGGTATATTATAACAGTTAAATTTAGACTATTTACAACAAATCATACATCAAACTAAAGGCAAACTATCCTAGTTTTTCTTTAAAATGCTCAGTATATGCACTTTTTACTAATGTAATTATATTGCACACATCTAACTTGTAGTCTAATTCTTTCCACACTTTGTCTTTTTACACTTAGGTTAGCAAATCTGGAGTAATGGAAGCTTTAATTCTGTGCCTCAACTCTGGCAAAACATTAGTTATCGACAGAACATAGACAAAATCTTTCATAATGGCCCAAAGGAAAAAAACTGCATGGTGTTAGATTAGGTCAACATGGAAGACAGCTAAAAAGAGCTCTGTCCTATCAACTATCACAACCAATCCAACAGTCAGGAAGTTTGACGTTTAACTTTTCTCGTACAACGAAATGAAAGTGGAGAGAGGTTCGATCTTGTCAGCAATTAAAGTTTATATGTTCATCTTCTACTAACTAGAAAAAGAGCTATTCTTGTAATACATCCAGATAAGCCAGCTCTGTTATGCTAGCTTAGGCAAAACAAAAAATGGTCTGTACACTTAATGTCAGGATACACAGCATAAAATATTTAATTTTGGGGAATCTCCTTTGTATTCTACAAGTTCATGAGGATATTCTGATCCCCAGATACAAACATCAAGGGTGTTAACCTTCCCATTCAGATGAAAAGCTGGCTCATTAATGAACATCACACGACCAAGAAAATTATCTTCCCGCTCAAGCACTTCGCTTGTATAGTTAAAATGTATACCATGGTCATTCTGCTTTAAAGCATGTACCAACTGTAACTGGTATGGATGTATGCATAAACATTTTCCTACAACCTTTGAAACTGTCATTTTTGGCAACTGAAGTTCAAAATTTGATTTCCAAATAGATTTCTTAGAACTATATGCTCTAATATGGCCCATATTCTCTAGAGATACTTTTGGTCATTCCATACTTTTCCCTTTACAAATATATCTGGTCATTTCAAACTGTCTATATCATCAGCAGATGTTTTTGCCACATTGGGGATCACAAACTTTAAATGAAATGCAAACTGAACTGAAATTGCAGATTCATTATTATTAAATTGCAGAACGAAAAATGTTTTATGCCAAAAGTTGCCATTTTTGCTTACGTGTCACTGGAGCTGCAATCGAGAAAACAACAAAAAAGTACTCTCACATGTGCTAATCTAAAATTGTTCGAGTTACTTTTGAATTATGACCTTGAACCAACACTCTAATTTGATGTTATTACAATTTATAACTAGTGCATTCTTTTATGAACATACTGTACACTTTCAAAATGTGAAAAATGCAATTTCCAGATTTATTGATCATCCAATGAGAACAGGAAATGCAGAACTGCTGCCTTTTTTTTTCTTTTTTCTTTTTTTTTTTTTTTACTCACTACACAATTACACATATTAAAAAATAATATTTTTAGAATTCATTTCTATTTTGCTCAATTAAAATTTAACTTGTTTTGAAGGTTTTAAAATAGACTATAATGACAGGACAAGGTATTGCTTTATTTACTTTGTAATTTGAAATGGTTATGCAGAAAATGAAGCTCAAAATAAAATTCAATAACATAATGTTAGAAAATAAATAGAACAGCGTATTATTTACAAGGCAAAAAAAAAAAAAAAAAATCAGCTTATGTTTAATTGCATTCTAATTCCAAAATTAATTATTTAAAAAAAAAGATATTGGGATTAAAACAGCTTCAGACTGGTGTAGAAGTGGAAATACTCCTATATAACTATAGCCTTGATCAGAAATGGTAATTAGCACATTTCTGCCTTGGCCAGAAACAAAGAATTTCTTATCTGCACATAATCTGCATATGTGCATAAAGATTATGTTTCACATATGTAAGCAACTTAAGTCTCTTCAGGAAATGAAAATTTTCTTTGTTTGCTAAACACTTACTGTTTTCAATCTCCCACCTTCAGCAAATTGTCAAAACAAAAAGTGGAAGGATAGGATAATGCTTGTGTATTATATTCAGGCATCATGTTGATCGTGATAATTTGTTTGATGTATATTACTAGCAACTGCTGAACTATGCTCACCAGAAAGTGTCTGTTTAAAATGAATTTAGGTATGTATCTATAAATTGCTCATTTAAATAGGTTGCTTATAAAACTGTATTAAATAAAATAATAAATACAAATTTAATATTGCATTGCTTCTGTACATGTATATTAAATAAACTGCATACAGACGGCATTCAAGGAATCACTTGAGGATATATATAACCACCTGTTTCTCGCCAAGCCTGAAACATGCCAATTTCCACTTTTTGCCAAGGCTGTTATAACACACAAGTACCAAAACAAATAAAATCTATGGTGCCAAAAAATATCATTTAAATATATGACAATTTAAATTCAATTTCTAGGCTAATTTCACATTTTAAATTGACTTGTACTTCTTTCATATATTTAAACATTTAAATTACATTAAAAAAACTTTTATAAACTAGTAGTAGTACAAAAAGAAGCTTAAGCAGTAATGTTTATTAGTTTGCAATGCATGTAATGACAAAATAAAGTATTACAAAATTTTAATTTCTTTTTTAAAAAATGTATTTAAGAGTATGTAAAAGAGACTGAAGTTACCCTCACAGAAGAATAAATTTTCTGTTATAATGTTGTGCAAATATTCTGAAAAATCATTTCTCTCGCAGGTTTTTATCATGCTAATAATATCAGAACTAAGACTAACAAGAAACAGACATAATGAAATTTTAAAAAATTATACAAATCATTATTTCAATACAGTTATTAGAAGTTCAAACATACCCGATCAAATAATCCACTTCTAATATAATAATCAGCCAAGCAATTCCAGAAATGGCCAACTTGATCAGTAAATCGTCGTAAGCCATCAAGTATTATAGCATCAACATTAAGAGATCGCACTTTGTCTGGATTCTCTGAAATTAGTTCACATAGCTCATTCCACAGCTGAAAATAAAATAATTCAATGAAATTAGACACAATTCTATCAGTAAACTGCTAATTACATTGTTGATAAATAACATATTTTGTTTTGAAATAAAACTTTGAAAAGGAAAAAAAATTACATTATAAAATAAAAGAAGTAAGTTACATTATAAATAAGAAAAATGTATTTATTAGTAAAGCTATTTTAGTATTAGCTACATTATTTTACACTAAATGGCAAAATGATGAGATTCCACCTCAAAAGAGGAACGTTGAGTTTCCTTTATAAGTATACTTTTACAGTCTCTATATAATAAAGGATTTAAATTTGAATTCTTAAATTTAGCATTTAATTTAAGTTATGTTTGATAAATGAGCACAAAAATGCTTTCAATATTTTCTGATTATCTGTACATGTACATGTTACGTATGTAGAAGGTCAGAGAAAAATACTGATGAGGCAATGCACCCCGTTTTCAAAAAGTATTTATGTAGCAACCCAAGTGTGTACACAGCACACACATTTTAGTATATGAGTAATAGCTTTTCTAAAATTCAAGAGTAAATTTTCCGATTAATGTTCATTTTTGCATTGGATGCATTTTGTCATAACAAATCATTATTGAATTGGGGAATTTAGCCTTTTTTGTTTTCATTACGTTGGGGTGTTTTGTTAGAGAGTATGTTCAAGTTTTAACTATTCTTAGATGATTGTGATCATAAACAGTGCACAATGCCAATTCTGTGTGGATCTCTGACGGGTTGTTTTAGCAAAATAGATTGCTAGATTAGTGTGTGTGTTGTTTTCCTCATGTATGAGGATAACAACACACACACTAAAAAAGTGCACATCTTGCATATGAAAAGATGTAAAACAAAACAGGCAACTCTAGAACCCTTGCTGAAATGGACAACAAGATACCCAAAATGTCCCTTTCCAAAATCATCGAGTTTATAAAAATTTTAAAAAAGGGTGCAGATAATCAAAAAGTACTATTCTTTCATTAGAAATTTCTACACAACATGTTAGTGTAATTTTAGAAGTTTACCAATTTCAACAGAACACCAAGCTCACTAAATTACTATAATTTTTAACCCTTTCAAGAATAAAAATGAAATCTGCCTTGGGATGTATTCTCCAATTAGTCTCGAAAGGATTAAATAAGAAAATAATTAGATAAGTCATCTTAAATTTTTAAATTAATGATTAAAAATTATGTGATGATTACATATTGAATCATCATCAAGAAGCCAAACAATAATATGTAACATACTTGCAGTAATATTAATTTTGTTCAGTATTAGATTCCTCTAAAATTATATTTTGATATGCAGGTGGGTATGCATTTTGAACAACCTTGATTCTTGCAATGCATGGAGGCTGTTAGTCCTCCCCCTCTCTCATGTTGAAAAAGTCATTGTTGAAAAACAATTTTTCAGTTGAATAACTTGACTGACAATGTGTCATTGAGACATAAAAGATAAAATATATTTAAGAAGCATTTACAAAATAAGTTTCCATTTAAAAATCATAAAATAATTAATGAACTAAAAGAAGAAAAATTATTTATCATATACGAGGTGTGACACACAAAAAAAAAATGAGACTAAGTGTGTAGCTTGAAAACAGAGTTGGCAACAACTGTTTTGGTGATGCCATGCAACACATGTCATGCATCCATGCAGCCAGTTTCAACTTAACTGACAACGTCAGTGGGGAGTACTGCATCATTGAATGAACACACGTAACGGCATTCTGCTGGAAAAATGTCTAATGTAAAAACTGAATAGCGAATCAGCATACGTTGTGGAGTAATGGATGGCTGTTGCACCAGAACAATGCACTTGCTCACACGGCCCCTATCTGTCAAGCAGTTTCTGACCAGCAAAAACATTACTGTGATGGGCCATCCTCTTTATTCACCTGATTTGGCTCCATTGCACTTTTTTTTTTTTTATTTCCTGAACTTAAATCTTACTTTAAAGATAACCTATTTTACCTCAGTTAAATAGGTAAAATAAGATAACCTATTTTACCTCAGTCAACTTTAAAGGTTCAGGCAAAACCTGAGAATCTCCTGAAGGGCCTTCCAAAAACCTCGTTCCAGAACTGTAACCAGCAATGGCAGCACCAAATGCAGCAATGTATGAAAGCTGAAGGGAACTACTCTGAAGGTAATAATGTCACTGAGAATTGATTCTGTAAGTACAATGATTTATCGGACCAGTCTCCTTTTTTTTTTTTTTTTTTTCTTTTCTGTTTTTTGTGAGTGTGTGTGTGTCACACCTTGTACTTTAATGGGAACAACAGATTAAATAATTATCTTTACAAAATTCATCAGAAATTTTAAATCCCAAATAATAGAAGCATAGTTGCCTGAGTAACAAAATCTAATGATTGAATTGCACTGACAAAAGTACAAGCCTTTATTTTTATAAGAATAAATTGAATTTAATTTAAAAAATTTAAATTTAAATACATATTTAATTAAATATTCTTTGCGCCATTGCTGCAAGGAATGAAATTTAAATTTAAACAAATTTAAATTCTTAACAAATACGTATAAAAGAAAAAAGCAAATTTAAATTCTAAAAAAAAGGAAAAAAGCCGAAATAATTTAAAATAATTTAAAAAAGTGCAAACATGTAAAAGATTTCATTCTCGAAACTAATCTACAATATCATTTAAATTCAGAAGCATAAGCAATCAAGTGCAAAATCTATCCATGAAAATAAATCTACTAATTTAATAAATTAAAATTAAATTAAACAATTTTAAAAAAATGCATATGTGAATGACCGTAGAGTAGGCAGGAGACAGACTTATCATGAATGTGAAGACTTATGTGAATGACCGTAGAGTAGACAGGAGACAGCCTTTATTTTTATAAACTTATCAAGGATGCTTTATGTGTTTTTTTATTTGACATGAAATTTTAGACAAATTTTGTAAATATAATTATTTTACCTATTGTTTCCATTAAACTATATGATAAAACTTTCTGTCTCTTTTTAGTTAGTTCATTATTTTATTTAAAACTTATTGTATAAAAACTTTTTCAATATCTTCTACTTAAAACTAATTATATAAAATACAATATAGCTTTCCTTCAAGTGTTACTATTTTTTGGTTTGAAGTACGTATAAAAAAATAATTTCCCATCTACACTTTCTTGCAATTTACACTTTTTCTTTTAAATACACTGAAAAATGTAACTTGGAGATTTCATTATATTTATTTCAAATTCATAATGCCGTCACTTTTCATTCTTTGAAATATTTTAGTTTCATTTTGTTTACTGATTTAGAAAAATTACAAATCTGTTTAATAATAAAATCATTAGCAGCTATGACAATAAACAGCAATTTATTTTATTGGACAAATGTACATAATAAATCATATGTGAATACAGTACTTAATAAGTCACTCAAAAATCTACTGCTACTGGCAAGTTAACTCTGGCTAGAAATACGAGTAACTAACTACTCAAATGTTGGTGGAATGAAAGAATAAAATCCTCAATTTGTCATTTTTGAGTTCAGTGGAATATTTTTGTAACAAACTCAAACTTGAAGATAACATTCAAAAATATGTACAAAGTTTTAAATTGGAAAATTTAATTTTAAAAATCTTTTTGAGAATATGTAATGTTATAAATGAAATTATTACAGTGTTAAAACAGAAAACTATCACTTAAATTAACACAAAATCCCTTTAAGTCTCCAAATATAATAAAGATACAGGAAAAAATAAATAATATATAGCTGTTGTCAAACACTTTTACTTCAGGCACATAAACATTTAAAATATCAGAAGAGAAAACACAAGAAATCTAACAAAAGGTGACAGATGTTATCACCTTGAAATTTACAAATTAGTTTTGTACAATCTTATGTATGAATAAATTACCTGATGTTTTGACTTTCCATGTTTTGATACAAATTTTTCATCATTAACAATTTCTGCCAACTTTACAGCAGCTTCATCAAGCCTATCAATTTGTTTCAAATATTCTATATAATCCTCTGCATCTTCATTGCATAACTGCAAAATAATTAACCATTATAATTTAACTATATACTATGCATTATATACATCGAAACATTGTACAGCAGCAGTTTGCACACTTCAGAAAATTCCACAGACAGACTATGAATGACCTTTCCTTGTATATGTTCAACTATATAAACTTTTAATCTAAAACTCTTATCTAATTTGTAATACCTCATTTATAAATAGATTTATGTGTAATGTAAGAAGCAATAAAGGAAAAAATGTAATAATAAAATCTATTAATTAAATGGATTAATTACGAGGGTTTTTTTTTTTTTTTTTCAACCTCCGATCGCACAGTATGATGGCCAGGCATGCGGCAGGTGGTTGATGTGCATAGTAGGTGACTGCGCATCTCCTCCTCCACACACACTGTCACTGGCGAGTTCAACACGCCATTTCCTGTTGAGTTGCAGTAACGTAAACATGGGTATCACTACTGATTCTCCTGCCAGGTGTGATTTACATGCTATTATTCATTTCTTGCAAGTAGAAGGGAACAGTGCAGCAGAAATTCATCGACGAATGGATTGAGTATATGGAGACACCTTTATGAGTGATGGCACTGTTCACGAAAGTTTAAAGATGGCCGAACTGATGTGCATGATGAAAGGGGGTCAAGGACGCAAGTCTATTGCTACAGACGAGATTGTTCAACGAGTTGACCAAACGGTTAAGGAAAACTGAAGTTTCACCACAAGCGAATTCTCGATGAAATTCCCGAAGATTCAAGATCTTCCTTGTACTTTATCGTTACTGAACAATGGTGCTACACAAAAGTTTGCGCTCACTGGATCCCACAGATGTTGACTGACGAACACAAAATTCGCCGAATGGCTGCAGTGTTGGAGTTTTTTTACCTTTACAATACTGATGGAGAAGATTTTTTGAAATCCATGGTGACAGGTGATAAGACATGAGTTCAATATGACACGCCCGAAGAGAAACGATAATCATAACAATGGATGCACACAAATTCTCTAAAGAGACCCACAAAATTCAAACAAATCTTCAATAACTGTATGGTTATGGCAACTGTTTTTTGAGACTAGAAAGGTGTGTTGCTTGAGCAGTTTATGCAGCTTGGAACAACAATTAATGCAGATTCTTATTGTGAAACTTTGCGACGCTTACAGAGAGCTATTCAAAACAAACAAAGAGGCATGCTGACTTCTGGAATTGTTCTGATCCAAGATAATGCCTGTCCTCACAGTGCTCGTGTAACACAATGACTCCTTCAGTAATTTCAACGATACATTTTCGAACACCAACCATATAGTCCTGACCTAGCGCTGAGGGACTTTCATCTTTTTCCTGAACTGAAGCAGTGGCTTTGGGAGCAGCGCTTCCAAAATGGCATGGAGCTCAAAGAAACCGTCACAACTCACTTCCAATCATTGGCAGGAACATTTTATGAAGAGGGTATTGCAAAGCTTGTTTACAGATATGACAAATACCTCAATCGTCAAGGTGATTATGTAGAGAAATAACCTGTAGTGTACATTACTTTTGGCAACAAAATCTGTTTTGTATATTCACCCATCTTTTCTTTATAGCCCATCGGAGGTTGAAAAAAAAAATAGCCTATGTAGAAGAATAACAAAAAGATAACACCGATTTTGCCATACCTTTAAATAACGTCTGTAGACTCTAACAGCTGTCTCAGGTATTCCTTTTTCCGAAACAAACTTTAAGTATAGAGGCCATATCCTGTGATGTTGTGTAATTGGAAGAGCACGGAGAGCTCGATCAAATACATGACGTGTTTTAGTAATCTGACATTGATTCATTAAAAATTCACAATAATCTAACCAAATTCGAGGCATCTGAAAATAAAATTTTAAATGCATGAAAATTATTTTTATATCATATTCTACTGCATTAAAGTTCAATTTGTTTTTTATGTACAGTTGACTTCCACTGTACAAAATATCCAAATAAGGAACAAAAATAAAACATTTGGTTGCAGCAATGCTAATATACAGGGTATACACACATAAAAGAATAATGCAGTATCAAAAGTTAATTAAAAATTTAATTCCCATTTTATAGGAACAAAACATGCACCATCAGCAATGGCAACTGTCCAAATTCTTATACATTCATTATAATCCTTCATTTATATGCATGGCAGATAACATGATATAACTCCACACACACACACATATACATATAGTAATCAAATTCTTCCTAATCTTAGCATATCAAGTCTGTCATAATGCCCTAAAATGTATGCATTACTTGATCATGAAGTTCCTAGGTGGGTGTGGGTAATAATGTAACATACAACATCGTCTTTTAACACACACTTGAAGGAAAGAAATCACATGGTTAAGATTTGACAAATAGGGTAGCCAAGGTTATAATGCAATTGCTATATAATCTGTTATTTTAGAACAGACATTTCAAAGTCATTTCTTCAACCTAAAACCATGATTCATTGCCACACCAAAGAGAGCTACTGAAAAAAAAGAGAAAATTTTCTAATTTGCTAAAATCTCCTAATGCTCTTTATGCAGTAATGACCTCGCATGTTCCGATTATAAATGAGGGCAGGGTGCTATCACTTAAGAAATCCGGTAACAATCAGTATTCAAACATGTCTAGAAATTAATAGCCAGTCACATTCTAGCCACTTTCCCATGGGACACAGCACAGACCTTGAACTGCAGGTCACATTATACTGTAATCACATATCTGGGCACTAGAAAAAGCCTTTTCCTGCTACAATGTCATCTTGGAAACTGGCCCTACAGTCCCTCTCAGTAAGTATGAGAAAAGAACTGCTAGTAATGAACATAAAACTTGGACACGTATGGATGGATGTGTCTAAGTAAGGCGAGGACAAAAATATTTTATTTAATTTTTTAAATGCCCCATTTTTTTATGTATGTTTGATACAAGGTGATTAAGATTATATTTTGCACAAAATAAAGTGCAAATTTGTCTACTGAAATGTATTTGTATGTGTTTATAATCTTTTACTGCAAGACAAATTTCAAGGTTTGTTTAAAAATAATCAATAATCTGATTTTTCTTTACCACCCTTATCAGATAATAAAATGGTGAGAAGACTAATCTACAATCACATTTATTACGCATACTATTTTCAGCCCTTGCCAATGTGGCTCTCTGATGATAACCAATGACTACTTTTACATTTCCTGCCTTTCATTCATTTGGAATTGTGGGCTTTTATTTTTATTTGATTTTTTGACATTCATATTCAAGCTTGCTTATAAAACTGATTTCACAACTTTGGTATAACTTTTCTGCATATTTATTTATATCATTTCTAGCAGCATTTAATGCATGTTTAATAAAATTTATTAAAATTTTTTCCTAAGCTTTTTTGAATTATATAATACACATATGTTTACCATTACTAATTATGTAATTTTTTTAATATATACGTGTGTGTATAATGTAAAAGTGCTATACTGATGACGCAGAATGTAGAATACTGAATTCATAATGAATGGCAAACTTGGCGTTCAAGGCATATTAAATATTTACCTTTATTTCAATTGACATTTGCAGCGACAATTCACTTGGCATCTAATCGTGTCTATTCAAGAACATTTACATTTTTTATACTATTGTGATAGGAAGACGGCAGCAAGGCTATGTCTTAAAACACTAAACATAGTTAAAAAAAAAAATTACGATTATTACGAAAAAATTACGAAAATTAGTTTCTACACAAAAACAAGCAATTCAGCCAGCAGGCAGGATGACAGATTTTTCATTACACAAAATTGAGTTTTCTTTTGACTCTACTTGGCAAAAAGACACTGAAGTTGGTGCACAAGGTGACTTAATTCACTATTCTATTTTCAAATGCAAACAAATGGTGGCTTTGTTATGATTCGTACCACTTAAACAAATTTTAAATTGTTGATAATTTTACAACTATTGCATGCAGATTAACTAAAGGCAAAAAAGCATAAATGATTGCAACAAAAAAAGATCTATTTATTAATGAAAACAAAAAAGAGGAAAATGTATAAACCTGGCTCTGTCAAGGCAAAGGAAGTTTCAGTAAGCAGTTTATAATCGTTGCAGAGTTATCTCACAATGAGAAATTAAAAATAATAAGAGTGGGGAAAATTTTAAAATAAATTAATATCAAGACAAAATTCTGCATCCAGAAAAAACACATATTATATTAACAGCAGAAATTCCTTTTCTTTATCCCAATGACTTCCAAAGAGTGAAACTTCCTCCAAACAGAGCAACCAGCCATACTTTAAAAAATACCACTACATTCTTTGAAAAAATGATGATTGATATACCTTTTCAATGTATTCCTGTGAAACACCCTGACACTTCACCAGTGGAGTACTGTGGCTTTGGTCTCTTGAAAAGAGTTTTCTCTTAGTGCAAACCCACCACAACTGATGGACTTTGAAAAATAGTGAAAGAGGAATGGAAAGTTTTATGAAAAGTCCTTCTACCATGGACTATCAGACAAAAAACACTATCAGATCAAACATTAAAAAAAAATATTCTTTAGATTTTATACATTAATTAAAGGGTCCCAAAATCATTCAAAAAATGTATAAACCCTTTCTGTAGCATGCACAATGTTCATATACAATTTCAGCTTTTAATGTCTCAATTCAAAGAAAGAATGAACCCGACAAGATAGGAAGAAGTGGGTGGAACACTAGAATTTCACTAATTTTTGTACAGGTCGAAAATCTCCCATTCCTACCACCCAATCTTTCAAGAGGACTTTTCCTTCATCAATATTTTAAGTGCCTCTATGTTATACAGACACTATACACTTATAAACATTAATTTTTTTTCCAGGTTTCAAACCTGCATCCAATGGTATGACAGATAGTATCACTATATTATATTGATCAGGGCAGTACAATGGTAATCATCAAATTCATTTTTAAATTGGGCAAAAATATCGCAAGAAACCTCAACAGACCTTATCTCTGTATGATGGCACTAGTATACAAGAGGCTCAACAAAATCTCATAAATGATTCCTTTCGTGTGACTTTCAGCTGTTTTCCTGTCAAAGAAATGTTTTAACAATCACCACTTCAATTTGTGTCAGGAAATCAACAGAACATCAAGCACATCTTATAACTTACCACAAGTCATGCCTTTAAAAAAGATTACTTCAAGTCCTATAAAGACAGCAGAAGTAAATATGTCTTTTTACAAAAGGATGGCATAGGGTACTTAGAATGTAACTTGGTCAGTATACTTGCACCAACTTCCCTATGCTCTGCATAACTCATTCTGATATTACTATGACATTTTACTAAATTGACAGGACTAATTTACACTAAAATGATTTGGTTTTGAGCCATTCATTGACATTATTAGTCCTTTGTAATGCAGATAGTTAGCATACACTGTTCAGATTCAATATGAAGTGTATGATACAATACTCATACCTAATGAAAAATTATCTTGCAAAATCAAAATTTTTTCATTTATTTTAATGACACCTTTTTTGTGTGTGTTAAATGCTTTTATAAGAAAGCAGAGTTTCTTAGTATTTTTGGAAATTTTTTATAAATCTTAAAACATTGTTAATATACAAATTCAGTTTAATATATAAATATCACAATAATGGTAATATTTCTATTTTTCTTGATTATTTTATTAGTTGAACATAGAAAACAGTATGGAAAAAATAAGACTATAGAACAGAGACTTATATGATTAAATTACCTATTTGACATAATAAATTCAAATATCAAAAGGTGTTTACTTTTTCACATCTTAGTAGTCTATCCTTCTCTTTCATGCTCTAAATGTTGCATATCATACAAATAATTACTGCGTATAACTGAGCACAAATAGCTTTACAACATAAAGTGCACTGTTGGAGTTAAAATACACCAATACTAAAAGCTTAAATTCACATTTCATAAAACTGATTCATTCCTATGTTTATCAATTATATATTTTCTGTTTGGTGCAACAGCCCTTTTAAAAATTAATTCCACATTCACACTGTGTTTATTACCTTGATTTATATAATAATTCTGTATTTTCCCCCTAGTTTACAAATCATGAGAATTATTGCTAGATCATAAAAAATAAATTAATAAAATAACGGAAGAAATCTCTTATTTAAGAATAATTTAATGTTTGTAAAATAATAATGGATCTCATGAGAAGTTAAAATGTGTTGCAGAGGGTTTAATATGTAACAGAAACCATAGTGCTCACTTTACAATATTTTATATATTAACATATATGTCATTCTTTTAAACTATATCTAAAAAGCAAAATTCTCACTATTGAAACTGAAAAATTAAAATCAATATTACCATTACATAAATTATTTTTCATTTCTAGATTAACAACCTAACTTATATCAAAAATAATTCTTTGAATTTTGAATTATAAATACTAGAAGTCATCCTGGATTATAAATTAATTGACCTGCAAAACAAACAATACTTATATGGAAATTTGTAATATAATTCTCATCCACAGAGATTAGTTTACTACTGCTACAATTATTATTGTTTAGGGGTAGTTATAAGCAGAAAGTAATGTCACTCAGTTTTAGTCCCACTACCTGATTCGGAGATTTTGCTTATCATATTGTTCAAAAGTTTTTCAAACCACTTTTTTTTTAATTATAATTAAATACAAGAAATAAATTCCTAGTTTATGCTACAGCAAATTTAATTTCCTCTCTAAAAAACATTACTCTTTATTATGAAAAGGCAAAACATGTTTTGATTTGAACTGAAAAAAATGTCGGAACATTATAAATGCTGCAATTTGATTTTAATATTTCTCATTTATTTCCTTACATGTTCCTAATCAACACTACTACAATTTTCTCATGATATTTATAATGCATTAAGAGCTATACGTAGCTTAGTCACGAAATTTTTTTCTTTTAATAAAGACCTATTTTTGGAAAAAGGAAAACGCATCATATAACATATACGTTCAAGTGCAACGCCAGAAAATTATTATTATCATTTCATAGATCACTCAAAATAGATTACAGAAAATATTTACATGTTACAGAACATCATCCAGGGTTGGATTTTATCACTAGATAAATCAAGCAGATGGCTGCAGACTGCTTATCTTATTCATAACAGGGGGGGGGAAAAAAACTTTAGTGTCTTTAATTCCAGCAAAATATTGTTTAATATTAAATAAATATTACTAGAATATTATAAATACATGTACAGTGAAACCTCTCATGGCTACTATTTTATAGATGACTTGCCCTGAATATGACCAATATTTATGAGAATTTAAATATGTATCAGTACTGAAAATTATGAGTTGTTATAATCTCACAGACAACCACACTTGTGAAACCAAAATATCTCGAAATATGGACAATTATCTTAGAGAAGCTTTATTACACAGATATAAGAGAGAAAGAGAATATATAGGAATACTTAAATTATCTCTGAAAAAAAAAAAAGACATCTGGTATTATCTAAAAACATCAACACAGTGTGATATTTCTCACAATAAATCATAATTGTTTTATAATAATTCACTAATTCAGTAAAATAATAATTCTAAATGGTTAACATTAAGTATAAATACTGATTACAAACTTTATGCATGAAGACCAAAGCTCTTTCAAATGCACTGTTAACATCTTCATAACACACATCTGTGACACACTTCCCTCGAACTTGAGATCTTCGCAGTTTCAAATACTTATGCCAAATGATATAACTGTAAAAATAATAAATATGTAACAATACAAACTGCATCTGTTTTACATATAAGGTGTTTCATATTGAATGGGGAAAAAATAGTATAAATTCTGCAATTCTGTACAAATTCTGTAATTGATTTATTAAGGCAAAATAAATTAATTCTGAAACTACAATTATACAAGTTTTATCTGGAGACAGTAAAAAAATCTTTGGGTTCTGAAATAGCTGTTACAGGAACTATTAATCAAAATGGCACCATCCATGCCCAAGAAACCATACTGTATTCTGGAATACACCAAAACATCATTATTTACTGTAGTTCAAAAGCATTTTGAGATGCCTTTTTAGATGATTTTTTTAACTTAATTTTTGCATTTTTAAATAGTCAGGCAGTTGGTTCCATATACACAAGATCTATTTTTAAAAAACAATTTTTAAAAGGAAATTAGCTTTGGCTTGTAATGACACTGTATTGGGAAAAAAACATGGGAACATTATATGGCCAGTCCATTCAATTACAAAAAACAGAACCAAGGAAGAGCTAAAGCTATTTTGCTGCTTTAGCAACTCGTACTTCAGTAAGTTTTTAAGTTCAACCAAAGCAATAAAACACGTATAAAATTTTTAACTTAACTTGTTAAATTATTTAAAAGTTTTAAAGTGTTAATCACAAAAATGTAGCTTAATCATTTCAAAGTACATGAAGATAGCATTACAGAAGGATAATTTTTATCGTGAATATGTTCTAACAGAGAGCTCACACAGCCACCCTGTTCATCAGAAAATCAGCAAGAGGAAAACCTAAATATGAATAAATTTATATCGTTTCTAAAGCTGGGTCAACTCTCACCATTATGGTAGGAAGTTAATATGCTTTAAGAAGAAACAGATTCTTTAAAAATTCTAAAAACTGTTTAGATAGATATTTCAGTACTTACCATTGAATGCTATGCTGCAACAATATTGTATTACATATCACATATTTATAAATCTGTACTTATTGATTACACATTATTTTTTAAAAACAGCTTTCATTTCTAATTGCATTGCCTTTCATGGTTTGCTGCAACAGATTTGTAAAAAAAGAGTCATAGTAATATCCTTATTCATTTAAGTCTAATGACTAAAGGAATAAAGCATTATTTGGGGGTTTCTAGAAATAATTTTTTTTTAATTATACTTAAATCTCATTCTTCCTTATCCTGTTTCTTAAACAATGCTAAGATTATCAATAAATCTCGAATCAGGGTTCATACACATTTCTGGACATGGAAATTTAAACACATTTAAGGACCAAAAATGAAAAAAAAAATTACTGACCCATCAACAAATGGAGACTGAATAAATTCAATTTAAGATATTAGCTATGCCTGAACTTCACTTTTACGATACCATCCCAAGAATAAAATAGATTCACAAGTAGAATGCATTGTTATTAAACATAATTTAATAAACCTAATTATAAAGCAAATTTGAGAATGAAATCCAGTTTATAAAGTTTATCAGGTAGCATTAAATATTTTACCCTTATAATAGTTGAACATATTTGAAAGAAGATTAGTGACAGTTTATGTTTTACTAACATCTAGCTTTATGTTGATTTTTAATTTTATGTCTCATTTTGTCACGTACTTGCTTAGTTTAGAGGTTTAGTAAACAGCAGATAGATTTTATGTCAGATGGTATAGGTTAAAATGAGAAATAAATTCATAATCAGCACGATTTGTTACAAAAAACTGGCTCTTGCCACTGCTGCTGCTTGCCTAGAGAAAGGCCTGCTGATCAGAACAAACCTGAAAACCTGACGTAGGCACGGTTGGCAAGTTTTGAAAGTTAGTTGTGCTCTGCCTGTCTGATGCAGTTAGTGCCATAACTTCATGTAGGGTTCCTGGGGATGTAACCCAGTTAACATATTTTAAGGTTCCAATAAGCAGCTAAAGCACTAGAGGTGATAAGTTGTTTTGTATTATTTTAAGTCTCACTAGATGCAAAGAATTAAGCTTTACGTTAATTTTTACGAAGTGCAACCTGACAACTCTAGAATGCTCTAAATTCTTTTTATTATTTTTTGTATTATAGGATCTGAAATACCTATGGATTCTAAAAACCGTAAATCTTTTATCGAATAATTACTAAATATACAACGAAATTATATTCAAAACAGTATCATCATTGCTATCTCCAAATGACTCATGCTTCCCAGTTAACACATGTCACAAACAAGTCTCAATCAAAAATAATCTTGACTCTAACCAAACAGATTTATCAGTAAATAAATAAATTTGCTGGTGTCCCATGATGTCAATCTCTATCTGGCCTTTGATTTGTTGGCGTAGTGGCGCCATTCCCAATACCTTTCTCCCTTCCCTGCTGCTATGCTAACAAAAGGAAAACCAATAAGAACAACTTCCCACTCCAAACAAATATGTCTAGGGACTTTACTTAATCTTTAAATTAGTTAGAAAAAGGCGAGCCCCATTCTATAATCACTCAAGTCAGATCCTACATCTGAATGAAAAGGTGATCATGGCTAATGTCAATGCAATGTCAATCAGTTTGTTAACACTAGCTAAGTGCAATTCACTAGCCAGCAGATGTTTGAAACTAATGCAGTACAAAGTTTGAAATCTGGACATCTAAAATCCGGACCTCGAAACCACCAACAACTTTTTTCTCGTAGGATTTACGCATGCGCATTTGATCCCCCCCCCCTCTGTGCATAATAAAACATCTGAAGAGTCTCGATTCTAAATTTCACTTCGACACTAAATAAAATACCTTGTTATTAGAGAAACAATCATTTTAGCATAAATTTGTACAAATCAGTAATTTGGCTCCATTGCTGCATATCTACTTGGCACACATCTCAAATCGAAACATTCCACATAGATACATCGTTGATCTGCCGCCAACCTGGCATATTATTTTTTATTTTTTATTATACTTTCCTTTCATCAACACATATTTATCAACACATGACAACTTGAGTAATGACTCATGCAGTGATGCCGAAACAATTTTTTTACGTTAGTAATTGAATAATAAAGCAGTATGGTAACCTTTTATGTTCACATTACACTTAATGATGATTACAGATTTAAGTTAAACAGGATAAAAAATGTTGATGAGGAAAAATTTACCAAAAATTTCTTTCCATATGCTAAAAATAGGTTTTGTTGATAATACTCATAGACTCGAGGATTAACATTTAGGGCTATTTGAATTAAAAATAACTGATTTTTTATTCACATAGACCCAGAATTAATGCTTGTATGGCCACACAGAGTTGCAGAATTTAGGACCCACAGAGACTGCATCAGGCGGTAAGATATCTAGCACCAGCACTCAATAAGGCTTAAGTATATGTGGGAATTTATTTATTCAGAACTTTGATCAGCCTTAAGCATGTGCAAAAAAAAAAAAAATAGGCATAAGTATAATAAATAACTAAACTAATACCATTCAGGCTAAATTGTCTCAATGCACGATCGAAGCAAGATAAAATTTAATGGAACAACTTGTCATTAGTCGCCAAGCTTATGATGCATAGCCAAATATGTACAAAGAAGGATAGCTAAATTTGATGATGACAGCAGCTAATTTTAAAGGTTTTTGGATATCACAAAACAAAAATTAAATTTTCCAATTAATGGATTTTGTAAAGAAATGTGGAGAAGCGGTAATAAATGATGATATAAAAGAAGTTTTTCATTGTGATGACAATGCTCATTAATCAATTAATGAATGGCAAAATCTGTAGTATGATTCTAGATACAGAAAATACCGCTACTGATAGCGAAGAAAGTGACAGAGAAGTTACTGAAAACGAGAAAATTTCGATTGACAAGTTAGTCGGAATTCTTGAAACAGCAGTTACAAGACTTCAACAATGTAACTAAACAAGAGATTATGTCTGTCTACAGAATTAAAGAGAAAGTATTAGCACAAAAAATGAAGCAACTTACACTGAAAGAAATGTTTAATAAGGTAAACAAATAAATATTAAGCTCTTTTTTTTTTTTTTTTTTTTTTTTTTTTAAATTTGATACCCTTTAGATCATAAATACTTCATTATTTCATAAATCATATTTTTAATTTTATAATTTCTACATGCCATCTTACTAGATTTAAACTGATGATCTAATATCCGGAAAAATCCTAAATCCGGAATCGCCAACGAGTCCGGATTTCGGACTTTATACTGTATTCAAGAATATTTAGGAGAAAAATTGCTTTTATGGCACACCTGCTTTTTCTTAAGTAAAATAATCTCCATTCCTAGACTTAGGAATAGAAAAAAATTGCTGGTTTGGTGATCAAGGTCTGAATATTAGATCATTCTGGAAATTGAACATCCAAATTTTGAACTTTGTACAGTAAATATGTAATGAACATTTTGAAAATAATAGTGTGAAAGATGCTGAATAAAAATTTGGATGTCATAGAATATGATGTAGCTGGCACATAAATATGCAGCTGCATTTGAACAGTTCTTTTACCATTGATAAAATCTTCTTGAAGCAGACATACACAGTTAAACTAATGCAAGACATTTGTGTGCAAGATGGTAATAAAATGATCTTATTTGTATGGGGAAGGATTGAAGATAAGCATAACTACAACTCATGAAGTTAAACTAAGATTTATTTAACACCAATATATGGGGAAAGATTGAAGATAAGCATAACTACAACTCATGAAGTTAAACTAAGATTTATTTATTTACATTAGAATGAAAAGAAAAGTAAAAAGAATAATCGTCAAAACATTTTGGACACGTCTGTCCTCACTATCGTTCACCTCTCATCTCATCTGACCACACCCTAATCTAGATGGCGCTCTTACATAATCTTAGTTACAGTTACAGTTCCCACATTTGGACAATACCAAGTTCTTCATGAATGATATTACAGTCAAAAGTCGTTAATTCGGACACCCATAATACGGAATGATCTATAATCCGGACCTCAAAGCTGAAAACTTTCTGCGCATGCGCCTCGTTGGCACATGCGCACAGGCGTTTTACGTGTGCATGTAAGACCTTGACTACTGCGCATATGCGTGTGCGCAGGTGCAGAATACATTTTCGCCTGCGCGTTTAATGTATAACGGAATTATCTAATTATCTATTTCAGTTAATGTTAATGATTGCGTTGTTCCTTAATCTTCGAATTGAATCCCGCTTATTATTTTTTGCAGACTGTAAGAGCAATTTTATAAAAGTAAACTTGAACTTTCGATTATGTCAAATAGAATTTCCGATGCTGGAACTTCCAAAGGATCTACAAAACGAAAGTATGTTTCGATGTCCACCAAACAAAAGTGGAATTGCTGCAAAAAATGGATAAAGACTGAAGAATGTGACAGAGAGGTTAGTGAAAACGAAAAAATTTCGATTGACAAAGTTAGTCGGTATTCTCGGCACAGCAATAACGGGACTTAAACAGCGAAACTTTGTAACTGAACAAGAAATATGTCTGTTTATAGAATTAAAGAGAAAAGTATTATCATATAAAACGAAGCAACTTAAACAACTTACATGAAAGAAATGTTTAATAAAGTAAACAAATAAATATTAAGCTTTTTTTTTTGTTTTGTAAATTTTGATACCCTTTAGATCATAATTGTTCTTTATTTCATAAATTACGGTTTCATATTTTTAATTTTAGAATTTCTGCATGCCATCTTACGAGATTTAAATTGATGATCTATAAACCGGAAAAATCGATAATCCGGAATCGCTGAAGTCCCGACGAGTCCAGATTAACGACTTTTGACTGTATTACGAACATAGCATGATGCTTAGGAGATCTGCCTGAGAATACAGTTCTGCACAGTTTGAAGTTTTTTTCTGTCAGATTTACAAGAATACGTCCAGACTGGAAAGGTATATCATAACATGTGCAGCAACATGAACTTATAAATGAGTAACTTATAAATGAGTGAGAATAGATAGAACGCTATTTTGAGCAATTAAGGAATACAGTTTAGCTTTACAAATTCAAAGCTTCTGGAGAATAGAGTGTATGTGTGAGGTCCAAGTGAGAAAATTAGTGAGGATCAGCACCGAGATAAGGGACTTGCTTAGCCCAAGGCAGAGTTGTTCCATACAAATGCAGATGCTGTTGAATGTTCTTTTTTAGTCATTTTACACTTACTTTGAAATATATTACCCATAAAGATACGGATAATGCTATGGATCATTATTTTACATGTTTTCAATTTTTATAGTATTTTTCTGAAATACCATACTCAAGAAGTTCATATGATTTTGAAGCTTTCTCAATCCTTATGCTATTCATAACTTTAAATTTTCATAAAAGTTTTAAATGTTTATTTTAAAATTTTCTTATAGTTTCCGAAACACTAATTAAATAAATAAAGACATGAGAAACAAATTCTGGTGAAGTTTTTAAAACACAAATTTAGAAAGAAGTCCATTAAAGAATAACTCGAATTATATTCAGATGCAGTAATGAGTTATGGATTTCATGACACATATTTTGCAAGGAGGAAAACTTCTGAGTAAGAAAGGGAAAATTGGAATTTAGCTAGTGTTTTCCTGAACTCTTAAAAATGTAAATTAAAATGAGATAATCTACATTTCTTTAAAAAGCAGTAAATATGCACTTGCATATTATTTTTGGTTAAGATGTTAATGTATGCATAAAAAAAATGGTTATTACATACCGATTTAAAGTTTTTTTTTTTTTTTTTGGTACTTTTCCATTTTGCCGACGCAGGTGATAAAGTCGCCAATAATGGTACAACTGATGCCAAACGGAATATCCTTGCTGGTAACCTTTTACACCTCATTTTCAAAACAAGTCACAGCCATTTCTTATCAGATTGATTGGTTCTTTCAATACTGGCATACAATTACATAGAATTTTTATCAGATAGTACAATTTTATGCCCTAAGACCATTCACAGTAATTAAGTCAATTAGAATGCAATCACACCACTGACCCGAAGGTGAAAATATAGAAGAGACGAAGTCAAGGGTTAAATTCATCAATTCTAATGAGAATACATTAGCGAAGTAAAGCACTGTGGTTTTACATAATTTCTGAGATAATTAGATTCGGTTGATCTTTGGATTATGGTAACTTGGCGATTTTTTGGCGAAAATTTGGCAACCAACTCTGCTACAGCAACCCTCTATTTTTTTTTTCGCCGCCATTTTGTCTTCACGAAGTAAAGACATGTTTCTTTTCTTTTTATTTACTGAACACTTTTTCCAACAATCTACTAGCCGAATTACACTTATGCTAGAAATTTTATGTAACAAAACTACTTAATCATGACAAATATTAACTGCAAAATTGCGAAAAAGTGCACAATCGCAAACTCCTTGCGCGTTTTTCAGAATAGCACATACACATAAACCATGTACACGTCAACTTATTTTTACTTAAAAAAACATCCCAGAATTGCACAAAAATGGCATTGCGCACACTCTTCACTATATCCATGTACACTGCTTTTTTCTCATAAATTAGAAAAATTACACGAAATGCATGAAAATTTTATGAATCTTTAAATCCGGTAAAAAGAACATATATGAAATTACCTGATCGCAAAAAGTATATACCCTTTCCAAAGATGAACATTTCCACGTATAAAATAAATAAAATATCCAAAAACTTTTACCTCTAAATTATCTATTATATTATAAACGTCACCAACGAATTCATACCGCAAACATTACAAATGGTTACAAATACTTAGTGTCAAATATTTAAATTACTTCCATGCACGTTTACTTCAACTGAAACGTATACCAAATTCCCACAAACATAAAATTCACAAAATAACTATCATTTAATTAAAATATCACTAAACCATGTACATGTTGACTTATTTTTACTTAAAAAAACATCCCAGAATTGCACAAAAATGGCATTGTGCACACTCTTCACTATATCCATGTACACTGCTTTTTTCACATAAATTAGAAAAATTTCACAAAATGCATGAAAATACTCAACGTATTCTACTCAAACGTATTCCAAAATACTACAAACATATAACTCACAAAATCACGATCATTAAATTAAAATATAATTAAATTAAAAAACACTACTTAAAATATAAGCACATACATTAAATTAATAAAAATTAGATTACAATCCTAATTACTTTAAACTAAATCATTGCTAATAACAATTTTCCAATAATATCATATTAATTTATTTACTCCTTACATTTAGAACAATGCATAAAAATAATATCCTCAAATGATTAAAAATACTAACTTACCTAATCTTCAGAATCTTCATTACGTGGCACGCACACTTCCACTATTTCACACAACACACAATGAAGCTTAATACAAAATAATATAGTACTACAGTTTTCCAAATTACCCCCCCTTTTCCGATTAAAGAACTGTAATTCGTCCATTAATGTCACATGACATATCTCATGATCTCTCATTTCCCTCACACAAAATAATGCATAATCGGAACTGAGTACTTCTCACATTATTACCAAAGTCCTAGGTAGTAACCTTTATCGCCTCCAAAATGTCGCCAAACTACCAGTTACCATATTCCAAAGATCAGCCGATTTTTGTAGCGTAGTTTACGTGAAATGAGATCACTTGGGATCATGTGATATGAGCCGGCAAATCAGGATGTTGCACCATGAAAGCATAGTAAATTCTTAAATTAATGTCTTTTTACAAAGTTTAAAACGATATTAAAATGTTCATGCCTTCAAAATAAAAAATTCTTAGATCTAACATTTGTTAACAAATTTTATGTGTATACTGTATATGTTGTCGCCAATAAAGTCCGCTTGGCGAGATTTGCTCCGGCGAAAAAGTACCTTTTTTTATATATATAAATTAGAGGTTTTTTTTTCACTCACAAACCAGAGAAATATCAGAAATTTATTAACAACCAAGAATTTTTATTTATTCAATAAATTAATAGATGTATTTAAAATTCTTATTTCACTGTAAAATTTATTTCATTTTAATAGTTTATTAAATAACTAGTTTCACAAGCACAAAATTTGCTTGACTCCAAAGTATTATTTAAGCATAAAAACCATATTTTATAATAAACTAAAGAAATCTCCAAGCAAATATCTTTATAATCTTTACCTTCCAGGCAGTTCTCTTAGAGCTCTTTCATACAACAAATTTATTACTTGTTTTGGTGCATCTTTTTTGAATTCAATATATCTCAACCAGTGCTTTACAGAATAAGGATTTCTAAGAATTTCTTCTTCATATGGAATATCATCATCATCCTATAAAACAAACCAATCAGAGAAACTTAATATCCAATATAAATATCATTCAGGTAAAATAAATAAATGTCCACAGAAATAACATCAATATGAAAAAGTTTGATAAATTTATTAGAAATATGGTATCAAGAAACTTAAAAATATAATTTCCATAGCTAGCTTTTGAACTGTTACGTTGTGGCATAAAAATTTAAACTAAACATTCCAATTTTTATTGCATACTGCAGCAAAATTGGGATATAACTGCAAAGATATGAAATATCAAGAATACTGCAAGTTGGTTAGAGTAGACTGAAGAGTGCCCCTTGCATTATTGTGAAGTTGTTGCTTCATTTATGGTAACCTGAGTACTTGAATGTTATGGAAACCATATTATGACGTAATCGGTTGCATGATCGGAAAAGATTTGCAAGGTCTTGTGGTGTGTGTTGGTTAGGAAGTGCATTGCTTGTTTTGTGGTTTAGACGGTAGAATAGCTGAATGTGGTAAGATTAATTTGAAGTTTCTATACGATTTAGAATGAAAGGGGAAAAGAGCATTAATTGACTGGGATATAAATAAAGGTTCACTTAATAGCTTTTATAAGTTATTGTATGTATTTTATTATTGTATGTAGGAAAGAAAGAAATATGGTCCAACATTGGAGGATACCAGCACTACAGAGGATGCTTTTTACTCTTATCTTTGTGAATTTATGTGGCAATGCCAGTATATAGATTCTAGTTTAGATAATTTTAAGAAGTTTTTAGATACTGTTAAGGAATTTTGTTTGACTGAAGACAGGGAAATTTCTAAATACGGAAGCGGATATTTCCTTTGTGCAATGCTAAAATGAATTTCCTTTTTTATGTTATTTCATTTTTTATTTAAAATGTGATTTATTGAGATTATATATTTTTTGTTAGCTACTCCTTTGAACTTTTAAGTGAAAACAGATCGATGTGTACACAAACAAAATCAAGGGAGTGTGCAATTCTCCGATGTTTTTTTAAGTGGAAATAGGTCGAAGTGTACATGGAAAGTCAAAGGAGTTTGCCAAGTTTGTGCAATTCTCTGATGTTTTTTTAAGTGAAAATAGGTCGATGTGTACATGAATACAGAGTTTGTACAATTCTTTGCACAAACTTGGTAAGTTGTGTAGTGGGGATTTTGGGGCCAAAAAAAATGGCAACAAATTTCACTTGCAGGCATGTAGTGGCAATACTGAAGGAATAAATTTGACATCTAATTTATTAATGCCATCATCTTGGCACAATTTGATGCTTTTTCACAGAAGAAAGTGTATAATGATATACCAGGCATTTCAGTAAAAGTTACTTATCCAATGCAAGTTAGAAATTTTGGCAATGTTTTTAAAAGGATTGCGGAACTATAGATATTTATCATAGGTCAGTAAACATTATCTACATATCAAAAGCAAACACAATTTAGCAATTAAAAATGTTAAATTTTTATTATTTAATAAATGTCTGCTGTATATATAGGTTTTCCCCATGTACACAGCAATCTGCTGTACAAATTTGCCACTGTTACCCCTTGGCATGATAATGATCATCCAATTAAGAACAGTTAAATACTGAAGTATGCAAATGGTGATGTAGCTTGACTCATGAATTGTTGTGTGTATGTTTACAAGAGTTTGACTTTCTGAAAATTTGGCAACTTTCTGCATTAATATGAAAGTACCTAAATTTGAAAGTGGTAAATGTATATTTACAGGTACCCCTTGGCAAAACTTGGCGATTTTTGGCGATACATAGATACCCAGTTTGTGCAATTCTTCGACTTGTTATTTTGGCTTATGTAGTGCCGATTTTTGCTGCTACACAAAGCCAAAATAACAAGACAAAGAATTGCACAAACTCGGTATACATGTACACATCGACCTATTTTCACTTAAAAAAAAAAAAATCCTAGAATTGCACAACTAGGCATTGTGCACTCCCTTGACTTTGTCCATGTACACATCGAATTATATTCACTTATAAAGTCAAAGAGCAGCCAACAAAAAAAAAAATATATGGTTAGAGTTGACTTTAAGGTTCCCCTTGTATTATCGCGAAGTTGTTTCATTTATCGCCAAGATGTTTTGTTTATCGCCAAGTTGTTGTATTATTTATGGTAACCTGAGTAGTTGAATGTTATGGAAACCCTATTATGGCACAATCGATTGCATTATTCTAGGAAGTTTTGAATCATGGGATGTTTTGCAAAGGCTTTTCTGATGTGTGTTGCTTAGGATGTAAATTGCTTGTTTCATTGTTTAGATGGTACAATGGCTTAATGTAGTAGGATTAATTTAAAGTTTCTGTACGATTTGGAACGAAAAGGGAAAAGTGCATTAATTGAGTTAATTAATTGTGTAAATGAAGGTTTACTTAGTAGCCATAGTCTGGAACTACATAGTATATTTTTGACTCTTATTTTTGTGAATTTCTGTGGCCATGCCAATATATGGATTGTATTTCAGATACTTTTAGGAAGTTTTTGGATGCTATTAAGGAATTTTGTGTGCCACTGACTGAAGACGAATGAATTTCTAAATGAGGTAAGGAGATTTTTCCTTCGCGTAGTGCTAAAATACATAACAGATTTTTCCTTTTTTGTTATTTTATTGTTTGGTTTAAAATGTAGTTTAATGAGATTATGTATTTTTTGTTTGCCTCTACTGTAGAATTGGGTGCTCCTTTGACTTTTTAAGTGAAAATGAAAATATATTGATGTGTACATGGACAAACTCGAGGGAGTGCATAAAGCATAGTTTGTGCAATTCGGGGACTTTATTTAATTGAAAATAGGTCGATGTGTACATGGATAAAGTCAAGGGAGTGCTCAATGCCATTTTTGTGCAATTCGGGAAGCAATTCTTTGACTTTTTGTTTTGGCTTGCGTAGCGGCAATTTTTGCACCAAAAATCACCTCTACGCAGGCCTAAATAACAAGTCAAAGCATTGCACAAACTCGGTATCCATGTACTGCCAAAAATCGCCAAAGGGTACCCTAAAATATACTTTTACCAAATATATAATCTCAATAAACTACATTTTAAAACAAAAATGAAATAACATAAAAAAGGAAATTTATCTTTGCACTACACAAAGGAAATACCGTATTTATGCGAATCTAATGCGCCATCGAATCTAATGCGCATCCCCATTTTAAAACTTTAAATAATTAAAAAACTGTTTGTCGGCGAATGTAATGCGCATCAATGGTATGAGGAATTTATTGAATCTTATTTTATACAACAATGGATTTGTATATAAACTATCAATCAATGGTATGATAATTTTATTTAAATTAGATACCATATTTTATACAACAATGGATTTATACATAAAGTAACAGAACATAGAATTAACCTATTAGTGGGCTATTGTTATGTGAAACAATCATTGTTAATTACCACTACCGTATATACGGTACATATCGTAAAGTATGAACATGAAATAAATGGTAACATTTCTATCTAGCTAACAGTTTCTACAATCAGTGATTAATAGTAAACGTCTTTATTCACTATTTTCATGATAACTTTTTTAGAGTCCCCTTCTCCGTAATGGTGTAGTTACGAGGCATATCAAACCAAATTGGCGTCTCGTCAGCGTTGCCAATTTGCCCCATTTGAAAAATTCTTTTTCCTTTCCGAAGTGTGATGACATACCGCTGAAATGTTAAGTAGTTTTCCCTCAAAATCTGCAGGAAGCTTTTGGCATAGTGTTGTACGGCGTCTTAGAAGATAAGCCCATCCGATTCATAAACCGATCCACCCATCGACGGCTAGCTTTAAACTCTTGTTTCGGTATTCCAAGAACTTCAGCCTCCTCTTTTGCTTTATTTCTTATAGTGTCGCTAGTCACAGGTTGTCCATTCTCTCTCCTTTCACGTACAAATTCCAAAACGTTTTCTTCAATTTTACGGTCTCTTCCTTTTGCGAGGGCCAGTGAATTTCTTTCTACTAGTTTTAGTTGCAAACAGTGCCAATCTCTGTTGCCGCCACAAGCGAACATTGCTCTCAGCTACGTTGAACTCTCTCCCAGCCTTTCTATTGCCATTTCTTTCAGGATAAAAAATTACTTTACGTTTGAAAGTAGCGTCATATGACATTCTCCTCTGCTTGCCCTCCATTTCGTGACTACGTACTCTGCAGTATGCAATAATGTGTCAACGATAAATGTAATGGTAAATGTAGTCGAGAAATACAGTAATCCATTGTTACGATTTAAATTCGGTTGACGTCATCGGCGAACTTTGCACTCGAATCTAATGCGCCATCGAATCTAATGCGCACCCCAATTTTGAGTACTACATTTGGTCAAAAACAATGCGCATTAGATTCGCGTAAATACGGTATCCACTTACCTTTTTTTATGAATTAGCACTTCTTCAGCCAAACAAAATTCCTTAACAGCATCCAAAACTTATCTAAACTAGAATCTGTAATTTCTTTCCTACAAACAGGACACTTAATAATGGATAAACCTTCATTTACACACCAGTCAAGTAATGCTCTTTTCCCTTTTCTTTCCAAATCATACAGAAACTTCAAATTAATCTTGCCACATTCATCCATTTTACCGTCTAAACCAGAGAACAAGCAACCTAACCAAAACATACACCAAGCCCTTACAAATTCAATGCAATCATGCAACCGATTATGTCATAATAGGGTTTCCATAAAATTCAACTAGTCAGGCTACCATAAATAAACCACCACTTGGCAATAAAAGAAACAACAACTTGGCGATAATACAAGCAGTACCCTTGTCTCTAACCTTGAAAGTTTTGGTGGTGAAATCTTCTGCATTCAATTTGAATGCAGGTGTTATTGTTAACTTGAAAAAAGTTAGGTTATTTGAATTATGGCAAAGCGCATAAGGACTGTCTGCGTCTTTTAGAAGGCCTTTTACGAGGAAACTGGCTTGCATTCTCATTACACTCACAGTCATGAAAACTCCCTTTCAGTTAGGCTTTTTACTCGAATTTGAACCCACATTAAA